CTGGTGAGCGTTTCATGTTATGCACTCAGTGACACTGATTCCATTCATCAAAATATAAGTTTTTCTAAGCCTGTAGATATTACTTACTGGCGAGTGAGTGAAAACACGCATGAAATTTATTGAAAGCCCAGCTTCCTACCGATAAACTCTAAGCACCTTACATAAAATATTAGTCTTTCTTAGCATCTCGTAACCACAGAGAGATGAGGAATAACTAGTAGTAACCAAAATGGTCTGAAGTTTCTGGACATTCCAAAGACTGGTAAATGGAACTGCTACATCGCAGCCACAATGTTCTATGTGCATGCTTATAGAGTATTCCCACTGACCTGTAGACGAGAGGAGACTTCACGAAATAAACTAGTTTTAGGTGATAACATTCTCAGAAACTGTGGAATCACAGTAATTAGTTAACTAATTGGTGTGCTCATATTGAGGGAAAACCTTAAAATTTTTCATTTAACAATTCAAGACACAAAAGATAGGAAGAATCAGTTAGGTATCAGAATTAGAAATGTTAATCAGTAAATAATGAAAGTGAATGGTAAGCTTGATTTGGAGCACAAAAGCCTAGTTTCTTCTTAAGTATTTCTATGGTTTCAACAATGCTTATTGGACGTTTGCGCACACTTACTGGAAACTTCTGCTAAATTCAATGAATCACATAAAATCAATCTTCAGAAACTGTATATTTACTTTCGACTGGATATTGTGAGATTGAATTTCTATCGGTTTGACTTAACCTTAACCACACCAAATTGAAGAGTATTCACATCAGTGTTGAACAATCTATCTCTGCACACAGCCTACGAACCTAGTTTCACAGTAACAAATGAAGCTACCTGCGTGTATACACATATACACAAACAGAGTGAAGTAACTAGCAGTTGTGTTTAACCCTTCACACATTCGTTCGTCAATTGATAGCAAGTGTAGATGATTCGCAGAGTTGCAGTGCACAATGTTTTATTAACAGCTTTCACTGGTCGACGTTTCAGTATTTAATATATTGCTTCGCCATGAGATTGAGACTTCCGAATGTGATTATTTTCATCTAGCCTACAGTATTAAACAGGGACACATTTTCGGTGTGTAATGCTTCCAAAACATCTTTCTGCATATCCATTTTCGCTGAATAGTGATCTCAAGAATTCAAGTCCTTCCAACGTGTCAGTTGTGCCAATTTTCCAGGTTAGAAATGCAGGAAAAGCGATAAAATGTCTTTTGAAGGTAACAGGAACTTGAGTCTGAGAATGAGCCAGTTGTTCATTCCGCGTATACTTTCTTTAAAATGAGTGTGATCCTTGGGCATTGTGATAGAATATAATTCAATATTAGATTTGTTTATCTGACTTATAACACAGTGATACAATATTGTCTACTTGTGAATAGCATCTCTCAAAAGCTGGTTTGATTGGGACTAGATGGTGACTCCGTCCTTTTGGTGGTAGAAGCTATCATGTAACCTGAATCACACGTCTCAGTGATAGCACTTCGAGTCACTTTGTCGATATTGTGATACCACTAGCCTTCACTTCTACGCAGTCACATATAAAAAATAGTTTCCACCAATGCAACATTTGTAAATAATGAAGTGACATCAAATGATAACATAACAACACATTGTCAGCAAACATTCACTTCACGAATGGAGTGGAATGGACATGCTGAAATGCGTCACATAAAGAATGGTGCAAAAGTTATCTCCCAATGTTTTCCAGTAGTTGAGTCAACCATCTGGCAAGGGAATGGTTACTTAGCCAGTGTTATGTCTGGGACGTAACATAATTTTAATCCATTTAATATTTGACAGCATCTTATAAACTTTTGTTGAGGAACAAAAAGGAGCGCATATGTCAATCGAAGTCGAACAGTTCAATCCAGTAAAAAGCAACGCAGAATTACAAGTGCGTCAATAAATAGTTATGATTCTAACGTTATTCACAGTGGTAAGCCTAATTGAGCAATTGTGTGAAACAAAGTGTTTAACGAAGAAATGTTGCAACTGCTTGTTTGCTACCATCACAGACTGCACTTTAAGATGAGAGAATAAAACTCAACTTTACATTGCCAAAGTTGGTTTTATTTTGCATGTACCTGTTTCATGAAGAGGTGAACATCTTTTCGCTGTGTAACGATAAACAGGTCAACAACATTCCAATGAACTTACTTCCTCTAGATAACAACATCAGAATAGTACAGAAATAATGAGTGGCATAAAAAGAAATCATTTCACTTCATAGTTATTCTTTAATTGAAGACATTATTAAATATGTGAGTAAAGAAGGTGCTATAAAACCACTGGCCAACTTTGGTTTACAAGGCCATAACTTTAAATAGAATACGATTTCATCGAATCTCATTAAATAACGAGGTTATTTGTTCTAGTAACAGAATAACTATTGAGGGAAATGAAGGACAACTTGGCAAAGATACTTTTATTCAACGAAGCTGCGAAATGCCCTTCATAACCACTAAAAACGAATGACAGTCTGTTTTTCAACAGTCGGGTGGGATTGTCTTGATATGGCGATGCTGAAATGAATAAAAAAGATGGAATAAAACGAGTCATTTTTTGAAGTCAGAGGCGATGAGAAAAGGTGATGAGAAAAGCAGTCAACTAGAATAGATGGGAATGACTTTTAGATGTGAAGTGTGTAAATATCTGCTTGAGACATAAAGTAATATCAGACAACACATCCGACAGAATGGTTAGTCACAAACTAATCACTATCAGTGAGGTTGAAGGAGTAAAGTCGAATAATTAAGAATATGAAGAAAGTAGACCGTGAACAAAATTCTACCATAGATTGAGCGAGAACTTCAACAGACTGTGGGCAGTAAATTTAACACGCTGAAATAAGGAAACTATACTCATCATGAACTGTTTATTGAGACTTTGTAGAGACGTTTGAAGGAAGATTCTGGCGATGTTTGATGTACAATGAATAAATGTCTAAGTACTGAAGTTTTGGAATTACTGTGTACTTTTTTTTATTTACCTATGAACTGTCGATGGGTAGGTGAAAAATAACCATGAAAACTGTCAACATAATAAAATGGGATATGTGATAATTTGTTTGGATGTGGACGAACGTTTCGTCCTACATGAGGCCGATCAGCCGGAGGTACCTGCACGCCAGTGAGCGATGTTGTTCCCACTGAGGCTCGAAATCGGGACCGATGGCTTTAAACACTATGGCTTCATCCACTATGCCACTATGCGTCAACCAGCCGAATTACCAGAAATAAAAGTCAGGCAATGTGGAGGCATCCGCATAATTCGATCCGAAATAACATTGGGGAATTACAAGTACGTCAATAAATAGTAATTGAAATTTGCGATGTTTGGAAAGTGAAGGCGAAAGCTTGTTCATGAAGACGAACTTTGTAAAATTGTGGTTCCTGTTTACCCAATTAGATAAATTAATTTGTTCATCCGAATGCCCTGCAGTGACTGTGGGGTTAAGTACTTCTATCAAAGTAGGCGGTCAGAATCAGTCAGCTTAACAGGACATCAGAACGTAGCTAATATGGATACACCCTGCCGAAATGAGTAATCTATGGAAGTATTGAGCTACATCCATATGTGTGATAATACACCACTACGTACGTGCGTAATAGAAATTAGTCAACATAGATTCCAGACATATGCAAAACACCACTATCAATAGAATGGAAACATGAACAGCAGTAGAACTGTCAGAAACTGAGTCAGCGAATTGTATGATTTCCGTGATATGATTATGAGCAATAAATTGAGCTTGATATATTGTCCAGTAAATAATACTATATCACTGGGTGCCCTGACCACTAGGGTAATCTAATATTGAATTACACTCGATTACAGTGTTCACATTCTTTACTTAAACAGAGTGGATTTAGGTTGAATTGATTGGCATCAAACGGTGAAAATGAAGAGATCAAGTTGGGATTGATCGTGAGGTCAACTACAAAACAGGATTGAAAATACACAAGAATTCTGAACGGTTTCAGCAGGATGACAGAACAGTCATTAGCCAGCATGGAAGCTTGACTTCACGGACTGAGATCAGTTGAGGAAAAATGTTTGAGACCTGGGAGCACTGGATAGTTGTCTCATTCTAGTATGGGACCTCTCAGCAGTGCGCATCCGTGAGCCAGTGAGGGGTTCAATCAAGGAGCTTCAGGTACCACGGTCAACGTGTTGCATTGAGTCATTACATTTGAATCTAATGGTACACAGTTTTCTACTTCTGTCTATTAGCTATATAGCATTACCTTCATACATCGTCGTCGTTGAAATTCCAGCATTAATTCACATTGCAGATTTATTTGATGTGAAAACCTGTCTTTTGTGCATACTCGCGTTCAGTTTAGTCCTTCTTGTAGCAAGCGCTTGTGGGATGTTGAGTAAATTTGCGCTGTTCTACTTACTGATTATCTAAAATCCGATCCAGTTCAAAACACACTGTCCTACAATTATCAAATGTCTAGTAAAGGAACTTGTAAAGCGTAGAAATTATTCAATGAGAGATTGCATCGAAACAATTACACAGAACACCATGTGTCCACATTCCGAATTTAGTATCTCTGTATAATGAAACTAAGAAGAGTGTAAAGCCTATCTCATGTGTAAACTGCACGTAATTCATGTAAATAAAATATGAAGTTATTTGTTAACTACTCTTTAAGCAGAAAAATCTCGTATAATCATATCTTCATCTTGGATTCAACAATGATTGCGTTATCTTTTAACACTCCACTGTCTCATATGTAAGGTAGACACATTTGTTTTTCTCAAGCATATAGAACACTTGTGATTTGCTAAAGATTTTCATTGGAAACTTTAATATAATCACGTGACAAGTCGACAATATCATCTATATAAGCTGACTGACAAGTGGATTTACCATGAGAGTCATGAAAAGATATTCACTTGTTTCGTTGTGTTTCCTTACTGTGATTATATGTCGACCAACTGTGTCTGTTTGGGATCAAAATACAGCAAAGATATTAGAAATGCACAAAAAATTCCGTCAAGACGCTGTCAACTGTCGGATTCCTAGACAACCAGCAGCGAAAACATTGCCTAGACTCGTTAGTTCACGCATTTCTGCTTTACACTTTATACTTTACTATAAACCTTGTCTATAATTTATGCAGTAACTCACCAGTCGGTATTCTCATACATGTTGCGCATACAACTGTGACGCCATTATATATCTGGGGTGCTTTTTCTATTCTTTAATAGACATGGAACAGTGAACTAGCTCAGAGTGCCTACCGGTTATCGAGTACATGTCGTTTCGGATTTCAAAAACCCACAAATTCCCGATTCAGGAGAGTTGGACAAAATATTGCAGCATATCGAAATGTTGAAGAGTGAGTGAGATGAAAATCAGTAAATTAATCATTTGATATCCTAGTGCTATGAACGGGTGGTTTGGTGAGCACAAGGACTACAATTTCGGATCACATACTTGTAGCCAACGATGCGGAAACTACTTACAAGTGGGTATTGATTAGATTGATTTTACATTCATTAAATATTACGATTGTCGTTGTGTTGAAATGTGTAGACTTTCGAAAGACGTTGCCGAAGGAATGATGGTGTGTCTACTTTTCCCCCTCCCACGGATTTTACAGTCGTATTGTCAAAGATGATGGTATGAGACGGTAGCCTCTTAATTCGTGAACATCAGATGCAAACTTTGGATATCGGTGGAAGATACTCCTCTCCTTACACATGAGTAATAATTACTGAGCGGTTGTGTGAGGAAAATATTTTGAGCCAAGTTGAAATAACTCACTATCATGTATAGCACTATCAGTCAGGTTACGAACTATAAGTCTCAGAAGCTATTGAGATTCGAATTACTCCATGAGTTATTCGAAAGTCTGATCTGTATGCATGCATCTTCACTCAGCAATCTTTGCATTATTTCTAATTCTACATTTCAGATTGTTTCTAATATGACTAGGGAGATCGGATGTGCGGTAACTGAGTGCCCGTATTCTAAGGAGTTTCCGTGGGGTCTTTTCATAGTTTGCAATTATGGTGAAGAGTAAGTAACAACTTTTAATGTTATGTATTCCGTCTAAAATGTTTGATGTGACACTAAGTTGAATTGATTTTCGAATCTCTCCTCAGTTGCATTACACCAGTCAATTAGAAAATCATAAAGACTGGAGTGACAGATGGTGGGGAGTTCACTTCTCAAGAATGATATTATTATTTATGGCACTTTCATTCTAAAGATGGCCTCAATGCACACTTTTGATGCTAGTGGAAAACAAACACAAGCTAACCGACTCAGGTTTCATGTCTCCAAAGTAATACTGAATTGACCAGATGAGGACACTGTTCCTCTAGTAAACATGATCGAATCTTAGATGAAACATGAAAGGAGCAGTGACAAACTCGATGTACTTCATGTGTAGACCGCCCCCCCCTTTTGAGTTAACAATGTACAATAAATTGAATATTTTACGTCGAACTGCAGGAATCAGTGAAAGCTGAGTTCCAATTCAGTTGAACTATTAAATATGTCATCACACCATGAAGCAGTATCACAGACTCCAAAACGTTCCAGACACAATTTACTATCAGCATCCATGTGTGGAAACTTGACAGCTTTGGAGACATGGCTGGCTTATTTCGTTCTAATTTTCTGTGCTCCTTTGTCATCTAGGTAGTAGAATTCTGCATATATCTGGGACAGGTGCTGAATCGCTCTTATCACATATATTTGACATTTGTTCGCCGAACGGGGACTCTGTTATCAAACCTCTCCTCAGTCCACTTCACCACCTGAACAGTCTCGTTTGAGATAGAGGTCAGAATATTATCACAGACAATATCAAAGCGTCTGTACAAGCTCGCATCATCTCAACAACAACTGAGTGTTTCATTTTTGTAAGTTTACAGGGTGACAGATGACAAACTTCAGTCTCAGGCACCACATATTTGATTGGCGTTGGTTCATGTGGAAGTAAGTGTTTCATAAAATACTCAGTCAGGTTTATTTTGATCCGCATAATATTACCTCAATGGCGATGTTCCGTGTAGGTGAGTTATAACAGACGTCTGGCTTTATCTGAAGGTGGTCCACAGGATTTACCAAGATGTAAGATAAAGTGATGATAGACATGGAAGATGCTTCAGGTGATTTTAGCCTTTGAAAATCGGAATAATATTTGAGGAGGAAAACAGGTTGAGTCGATGATTCTATAAAATAAATGACAGGTTTCATTATTGTCTAGTGTTGTTTCCTATCATAACTTGGTGCTTTCTACATTCATGAAATTCCAGAGCTAATTTCCAAGAAAGACCATATGAGGCGAAATATCCTTTCAAACTTTGTTCTGGAGGAAGTGTTACAGTTACCCCACCAACCGATAGGGGATGGCATCTTACTAAAGGTGTTATGCAATTTAATACCAAAAACTGTTACTGTTATAAATGAAAAATGAATTGCCCTGTTGTTTCAAAATCCATAACTATATTATACGTTTGATACAATAGAGATTTTGAAAATTAAAATTACCCTTTGAATTCTTGGCCCACCAGACGTGTCGGGGATTACCATCGTAAAGTCTCATGTCTGTTGAGGTGGATCACGAAGGAGTGTTATCTTCTGGTTTAAGGAAACCTGTATTGATCATTCTAGTCTCAGTGGAATAATTCGTTTCATTCTGACTCCAGATGAACTCCTCAGCATATTCCATTCTGTAAACCGTCTTCAAATTTAAATGTTCCTTGCATACTATCAGTTGAATGAATAAATTCTGTAGATTTGTGTGTTACTAGTGAACAACACGAGTGGTTGGAAAACACTCGGACTGATCTGTATATTTCGCCAGCCAGATCAGAGTGATCTTAACACCAGTCAACTGTTTCAGTGACTTGGGACTGAGCTAATCAGTGATGAAAAAGTACAAATTCAGTTCATAGAGTCGAAGCAATTCAGATCAACTGCATCTGGTCAGCTGACTAGCTTCGACAGGCTTTTGTTGACATGACAATTAGGCAGTTGAGGAAATGTGATGAATGTCAACGGGAACCAAGCAACTTGCAAACCACTTGTAGATTGACCATCCTATTTCTGCAGATTTCGTTCGATCATTTGTCACACACACACACACACACACAATCATTGGAAGTGGAACTAGCACCAACGTAAGTACTGGTAATGATGTCACTAACTTATAGAGCCAGTGGTCACAAGAATACTGAAAACACCATGAAAATGCATCAAGTCTCACAATCAGCGTGAACTGAAACGTAGAAAATTAAATCCAGCGTAATACTGAAAGGCGAAGTATGTGAAAAACCAAAATATACATTTATATAGTGAGTGGATGATAGGCATGAAGAAATAAGTGAGTAACTCGAAAAGCTACGATGGGAAGGTTGTTTCTTAATTTTTCTGCAGTTAAAGCAGAGTTGGGCGTTGTTTCAAAAGCATTTCGATCACAGAGAAGAATGGGGTTATTATTCCCCAGATCTCTTGACTTCGTCTGTGACCATCACACTTCTACGAAATGTATTCGAAAGTCTGAATGGAGTGCAATGTATTATGCTGAATGATGATTTGAATTTGTCGACTGAGCAATCACTCTTGGCAGAACTTGATAAATTTGAACTTCGTGTTGACGTTAATTGTCATTATACTCACCAGGAAGGTTGAAACACATCAACACCTTTGTTAAATCACTTGTCGGTGTACGTGAATTGGGTAACACGCTTGACTGGGTGAGTTCCTTATGGATTGTGCTATTTGAGTAAGGAATGACGTATTTAGCTAGGCCATTCGTTCAGACTCTGGTCAGCTTAGAGATCAGCTGGATTAGTCAATAATTTAAACAGTGGAAAAGTCACCTAGATCATTAATCACATGTCTAGGTCAGGTAGAACAAAGCTCACAGAACACCAAAGAAACATCACCCTCATCACGAGACGTAAACACTCTAGAATCATGCAAATCAAAATACAAATAACCAACAACAATTTAAAGTCAACACAGAAGTCTGAACACAGAGGACAGTTAGTGTATCTGTCACCAAACGACCAATAACCACCAATTGGAAGATTGAGATGAACAGTCGGTCAATAGCGTGTGCTTCCACTCCATTCAGCAATCATTCTTACTTACTCCGTCAGTTTAACAGCACCTTCTCGATTTGGTTCTTATATACACTCTTAGTAAAAAGGATGTCCATCAGATATTGTGGTTTATGCAGGTTGTGTTATCATCATGTTAGCTGACGCTCAGAGTTTATTGCTAGAATCCGCTTCGCACGTATCAAGCATTACAACTATGAAGAGAAAAGCACAATATTAGTGATCCTGTGAATGCGACGAAGTGAATTCAATACTCCAGCTGATTGGTTCACTGTTCTGAATATAGAAAGTGAACACCGATTGTTTTATTGTGTGGAAATCGGTTTGATTTAATAAAAACAATGTAATTTTCGTGATATAGCTGGACATAATATAGTAAAGATGTATGTGGTAGTTACTGAAGCTGACACTAATTATCATATGCTTCCTGATTCGTGATTCCTTGTCTCCTTCATGTATAGCTTTTATCCCGTTTGAGTGCTTGTTGGGTTACGGTGTCCTGGTCACTGTCTTCTGTTGACTACAACCTGGCATTTCTGGTATTACTCGGACATGTTAGCGTGATGTGCTTCCCTTCGTCAAAATGCAACGTATCTATTAGGAACTATCCAACTAAGTTATTTCTACGACGCCTTCACGTGTCGGAGAAATTCAGTGATATTTCGCTTTGTGTTTGTACATACAAATGTACATACCTATATTCAGGCTGCTCGGGAAATCTAAAGACCATGGATGAGTAGTGGAACTTCTCCTAAATAGTTACTTGAGAAATAATGGCTTCTAATTAAACCTAAAACTGGCTTAGAAAATCATTATCACCTGTCACATGAAATCACCGTTGCAAAAGTAACCGTCATCCGGTTAAGATTGAATCCCATATTAATTTAAAATTGGTAGATAATTTGATTCTACACTGATAAGGCTGTGTAGTATTTCAGGAAGTGGTTTTCAAAATGTATTCAGTGTAATTTATCCGTGTTAATGAGATTCGAAGAGAAATCTACATCTAAAATGTATTATAAGTAGATGTTTGATGAAAAATGCACACACAATGATAATATTTCAAGCAAATTACTCCCCGCGACTGAACAAGCAGTTGGGATATTTAAATAATATTTTGATCGGTATATTGGCAGTGTCGTCATTTCTATGCTCCTTGTGAACGGATTTCATCGATGATTAACTCACTAAACCAATTTAGATCTAATAATTCCCACATTCTCAAAATTTGACTCTTCGTTGTTATCAGAGTATGCTGTACTGTTAATCCAGTGTGTTGACAAAGTGGAAACAGAGCTTCACTGAGCATTTCGTCATGTGACCGATAGCTTCTTCAGTAAGATGTTCTAAATACGCTGGATTGAATTGCAGTATACTTTGATAATGATGAAAGGAGACTCGGAACTCGTTGTTCCAGTACATGCGTTATCAATATGATCTGGGTGTTTACAACTTCATCTGACTCCACGCTGTAGGTTAAATAAATATTTCATCACCACGAACAACAGTCCTCCGTCAGCATATCAGGGGTAAATGAAGAGACGTGTTTGTTCACGAAGAGCTAATGATCATGACAACTTCCCAAACCATTATGATCGGCTTCTTAGTGAACATGCCTCTTTACACACACCCTCAACAACATCGAACAAGATACCCAGGTAACTCAGACATATTTGAGTATTTCTGCAATTAATGCAATTGATGTCGTCGTTTCACAGATGTTTCGCATCCTGTAGACAATCATAATTTCGTGGGTACTGCAAAGGGAACCAGTGCACGTGAAACGCTTGCTTACATCATTTCGAAAGATACCGGTCTGTTAATAACAACCAAGTCAGTGGGATGAAATGGTATTCATTTTAAGTCAACTATTGTCGATAAATTTTTATTCCTTTCATTGCTTACTTGAAGGCGATCCGGCAGTTGCGGTTGCACCACTCCATATTCTAGAAGGAAGCCGTATCTAGAAAATCCTGCAGAAAAGGAATAATTTTTGATTTAGAGGAACGACAGAAGCCATTTAAACCACATATGTGTTGGCCGTCAGAACAGCCTGTATTCGTTCTCTTCCCATCGTGGAGTATAATTTCACTTACGCTGCAGTTTTCCTTCCTCTGAGATGTGAAAGTGAAATGGGCGCAGCTGTGGGGGATTAAGTGCAAATTACCCGTCTCAGCAAAAGTCCTTCTAGTCCTCAGTTGCATTACCTTCCTGTCGGGGCACTCGAGACAGGAGCATTCTAGGTGTCAGGGAAGAAGTAGAAAATGACAATTACAAAAAGTGAGTGGCTTTGAACGAAATGTACTTGGGAAAAATAAGGGAGACTGACAGTGGAAGAGGGAAGAAAGGAGGGGGGCGAGTGAGTGACTGATTGATTGGATGAGTGAGCGGATAACTGAGTTAGGGAGTGAGTGAGTGAATGAATGAATGAGTATGGTGTGATTTCATTTAGAAGTAGGTGGGTGAAGATTAGGCGGAACAACAACTGTGAATATCACTCAGACAAAGTGTGATATAATGAATGGGATCGAAAAAAGTGAAAGTGCTATGACAAAATAGAATGTACTGAAATAGAATAAGGTAAAACACGAATAGAGAAGAGCTAGTTGTAAGAATCGTGTGATCAACATGATGGTAAGTCATGTTCTGGTTAGTGAAAAGGACTGGACAAACTGATGAATTTACGTCTCCGTGTTCCCCTTTAATAATAATGTTAATGGGTAGCACTTTGTCACTGTGTGAATTCTCCAAGAAACAAAGTGACTTGGGTTTCTTATCCACCATCTATAATTCCCTGCTTCTATGGAATAATTGGTTGCCTGAGGTAATGTGAATGATATTTGTACAGCTGCAAGTAGAAAATAAACAGTATCCAACAGGAAAATATTTCTTCAGCTAGACTAAGCATTGTCTGACACTTTTACTTTCCCGTTTCTATGCAACGTCGAATCGCCAGAACTCTATTGGCAGGCGATCTGCTATGCGTTTCCCTAGGACCTATTGGGCAACGCTTTGACGTTGGGAGCGTCGGCACTGGTTCCAATCTCAGTTGGAACAACATCACTCGCTGGGGTGCAGGTATGTTCAGCTGACTATTCCTAAATAGGACGAAGCCTGGTTCCTGGATTCTACCGCTAGTCGCCACGGTGAATGGGCTAAGTGCTCCACACTATCTCCCCTGGTTCCAAAATGGATAAGGCTGCGTCTGCACCTAATTGACTCATATATCTTCACTAGAGTGGGTCTTCAAGGCCAATACTTCTGTCACTCGATTGCACTGCCAGCAGTGTAGTAATCAGCCTGCATTTCTAATAAGATGAACTTCACTCAGTGAATCATACA